TCCTATTTTCAGCACCAAAATCAGAAGGAGCAAGAAGGTAAACAAGACCTGTAAGGAAGGGAGCCACTGAAGCTCCATGAGGAAAACAAAGGTGAATTTTGATTGCAGTGGCTTATTGGTCAAGTTACCAGCAATTTTACATATAACACAGAGGATGTAGCAATGTCGTTTTCGTAATGCGAAGATTCTCTTTATTTGATTGGCATCTCTTTCCTGTAATTAATAGGTAAGACCTGTTTGTATAAGAATGGTTTGTACCTATTTTTCAAACTTTTTTTTTTAAATTAAAAATTTTTGGTCAAGTTTTTGTTTATTATTTATTACTCAATATGTAATGGACATCTCACCTATATTTTTAACTTGTAATGTGCATATCACTGTCCTTACATCATCCAAAACCTCTGGCAAGTATTTGATTAGTTCCAACAGAGAGTGCAAAGCATGCCAGGGCATATTCTCCTTCCAGCACTAAATGGGATATACATTTAAGTTAGTTCCTTTCTAGAAGAGCTCCTGTGTGGTTTTGTTAGGCTGTATGTGATCTCAATGTTTATTGGGTGCTCTTGTTGATGTCGTAGTCTATCATACTTTGGGTCTCTACCAATTGCCCGTACCTCCTCTATCTTTTTTGTTTTCTTTTCAAGGATTTGGAAAGCATCTCCAAACAATAGGTTACTGCTTAATGTTACTTGTAACTTGCACCTCACTGTCCTTAACAACAATTTGTAAGTTCCTATAATAGTTGTTGTATCATGATAATGTTTATTTAGTGGATGCTTAATGTTTTTTATTTTATGCTTCGAAGGTCGTTTTGAAGTGTAACATAAAATCCTTAATAGAGTATTTTCCATAAATAAATGTTAGAAAAATCCAAGAAAACGATGATGGTTTGTTCCTCCCTCACACTTCTATATATTTCCATGTACCTGCCAAATCAGCGTAGAGGGTGATCTCCACAGTGGCTGATAATCATACGATGAGTTCATCAATTACTTCTTTTACATCTTTCATCATCTCATTTCCAACGTACCCATCATCCTTCCAATAAAACAGGTGGATCACTTTGTTCATGTTCCAAAACAAATTCTTGCATGCTCTTGGAACTATGCTTCCCTTCTCCAGCACAACTAATCTTAGCAGTTCTTTTGTCTTACGGTTTATAACATTCTGAATCTCATTGATGGCATCTTCCTCAGTAACAATACCACCGCCATGAATCACGGCCAATGACACAGCATTTAGCTTCCCTTGCTCTAACTCCCTCTGCAAATAGCGCAGAGTTATCGATATTATATGATGGCCGGTTATTAGTTTGTTTCTTTCGTTTTTGTTTTAAAGAGAAGGGGTGGAGGTTCTGTACCTTACAGCTTTGGATATCATTGAGAAGACGGCCACAAGTGCTCATAAGCATAAACAAGTGCTGGAGTTCTGAATTTCCTAAAATATCCTCTGAAAGCTTGGGCCCAACAAAATAGAGAGCGGGGAGGACGGTTGGTCCCAAGGCAAGTGATACATATGCATTTGCCATGTATTCTTCCATTGTTGGCTCCAACTTGTTTCTCGACCAGCCAGCTTCCTTCAACATAGACTTGAGGCACTCCAACCACTAAAATCGAACATTGATTATTCAAAATATCAAAATCATCAGTTACTGTTAATAGAGTGTTCAGGTGATTCTAAGACATTCTCTGTCTCTGATGCTCAGGACTATCAGGAGAAAAAAATTATTATTACCGAAAGGAATAAAAATGACATAACATTAACAAAGTAAAAGATTCCATCTTACAATCTCAATTACATGATTTGTCACACTGCGTCCTTGCCATTTGAAAGCTTCGACTCCAATCTCAGTAATTATGCTCCTAAGTGCTGAGAATATAATTTGAACGTGCTCAGAACAACAATCAACACTTGCATTCACATCCCACCTGCGGTTGAATACAAGGAACACTGAGATTAGCCAGAAAGACTAATGAAGAAGGACAAGTAGAAATGATGGACCAACAACAAATCAAATGGAAACAGACAAGAAATGAAAAAAAAAAAAACCGAAAGAAATTACGTACTTCTCGACCAATTGTATAAGGTTTACCAGTTCCTCTTCCGAACCTCCAATGTCAAAGAAGTCATCAACAACAGTTGTGAGAAATGCACTTTTGGCCCATGATATGCGGGCGTCTGATAGTTCAGGAGGGAAGAGGCTTGTAGCAGCAGAGAAGTAACAGTATGGCTGCTTCTGCCTAGCAAACTTTAGCTTGTCTAATTTGTTCTCCACAACCCACCTGCTTAAATGGAGCAAATATTGCACTTTGGAAATGACAAAAAAAAAAAAATTCTGCATCGCAAGCCTTACACAATGAAACAAAGAAGCTTGAGAGAGAGAGAGAGAGAGAGAGAGAGAGAGAGAGAGAGAGGACAAGCACCTTGCAAAATGGTTGAATTCTCCATGATGTATAGATTGGCAAAAATTGTAGTCTTCCACTGCCAGTTTTAGGATATCTTCATTCCCAATGTTCAAAGATCTTAAGATGAGTACAAGGATATATCAGTAATATATATACTGACCGCTCATAATAATTCAACAGAACTCAATTTCCTCTCTTAAAAGAGAGGGAGAATGAAGAAGGGGAATTACTTAGAGTAGGAAACTAGTAGAAGTCTGTTTACCTGTAAGAAGATTTTAGAATCCTTGTACTATCTGCGTTGTAATGCTTTTTAACTTTCCTGATTGACAACCGACCCAAGTTTGCATGGTAAGGACACTTAAGAGCATGATCCACCTGAAAATAATAAAAAAGTTTCAGTTTTAGGATAAAGCTACATCACCAAATCTAAAACACTTGCTATATATAGGAAGCTACCTCTTGGCCAATATGCTTATTGAGTCTATGTGCTTGAATTAAATTAGAGGATAATTCTTGTTTCAGGAAGCGACGCGTCCAGTAATTTAGTTTCTCCAGAACTGATTCATCAGGATGTAGGGTGATTTCTGAAGCTCTAAACAATTCTAACACAGCGCCAACATCCCTCAAGTATCCTCCAAGGGAATTGAAGAAGCAATCTTCTGAAAATTGAGTTAATGGATCTACGTACAAGACAGCATATATAATCAATTACATAGTTTCTGTCAAAAGGAAGTGATAAAGACCAAGCTAGGCACCTAGATGGAAAAATACCTGCAGAAACATCATATCCATTAACACGTAAGAGTCGAAATGCCATTGCACAAGTGGCAGCATCTGAAAATATATCTTCATCTCCCCGCAGCCAGAATCTGCAGTTTGTTGACTAATGTCATGCTACCCCATGGATGAGACGCAATAAAATATCTAAACTTAATGCTTCACTTAAGAATATTTACCCTTTAACAGAACATCATTCCAATATTCTTCTTCAAAGTTACACCCCAAAAACCACATTACTGGTGTATATATACGTAAACTTAATCTAGGGAACATTAATTACCTGTATGTTTCATCCAGTACACCTGTAATTTCCTCCCTGAAATGTCGATCAATACCCAAACTTTCAAGACTGGAAACCATAGTAAGGCGAGCATAGTTATCTAGAGGATAAATTGTTGGGACTGAAAAGAGTAAATTGGAAATAATGAGTTAAACTGTATCAATCCTAATCTAGTAACCATTGCTAGCAAACTAATGACATGCATGGAGGGAGAAACCTGCATTCCCAAACTTTTCTAAGAGTGTGCGTAAATACGTAAGACAACTGGGATTCTTAAGGTGAGTAAAAGCAGCAGCTGTGGTTGATGGTGAATTAAACAAGGATCCGTTCTTCCGTTGATACTTCATGGCCGTCTCCCAATCCTGAAACTTTCCATTTCCTTCTGAAGTATATGCTAGGAAGGCTCTCCATCCCTCTGAGTTGCTTCCATAACCTCTGAATAAAATTTCGTAATAGATGCTTTCACTTATGATAGTTAAGGATGCAATAAATAAATTTAATTCATGGCATTTCCATGACTTTAAATAGCATATGAACTGATACAAGTGTCCCTATCATGTATATCACCCCTGGTAAAACTACATTTTCGGAGATTCTAATAAACAAAGCCAAACCTGTAGCTACAGATTTGAGCTAGGTGGCTTGATTAGCCAAGTCATGGAAAGAAATAATAAAACTAAATGAACTTTACTGAGAAGTTGGACCAAACATAAACCGAGGGAAAGGCAAGGAAACGTACCTTTGAAGCTCAAAGTCTCTCCTGTGAAATATAGAGTCTAGGGTTGATCCTCGCAGGGGAAGATTCATATCCAAATTCATTGCAGATTCAATCATAGAGGGAAATATTATATCAAATCCAACAGGCGATTGTTGCTCTTCATCTGTAGCTGAAGCTAAATTGGACTCAATGAAATGTAGCCCTAGAAAAGCAAGAAAGACTCAGAGAGGGTAATCCTTTATAATGCATGCATTAATTTGGAGGAAACTTAGCAAAAGCAACAGGCATACCCTTGTTAATTTGTTCTTGACCAACGCTCCATCGGTTTAGTGCAAGGATACATGCTAAAGTAGATAAGAGAGCATCCTTTTTTAACAACGGATGGAAATTATGAGGACCCCATGAACCATCATGGTGTTGGTTACCCAATAACCAATTTAGGCATTCAGGGAAAAAAGGATCCTTCAGGGAATTTGGAGAAGGGACCATGGCCACCCAAGCGGTATCATATGAGGAAACAGAGAGATCAACATTGTTGAACATCTTCTTTATTTTTTGTTTACTCACCTCAAACTTCTCCTTCAATTAAAACAAGCACTTTTTACACTAATTGTTAACAAGATAAAAAAGTACAATGGAAATAATAGAAGTGGTGAGTTCTGTTACCAAAGCAGCAGTATTGCCCTCTGCTGCACCCTCTAATCTCAGGACTGTTGAAGCTGCTTGTGGCAAGAAATCTTTCCAGAACGGATTTTGTTTAAAAAATTTAAACAAAAAAGTATATTAAAGACCAGAAAGCCAATCCAGGCTCCCCAGAAAGTACTGTTTCCACATTAAAACAAATCATTTTCTAAAAACAATAAAAAATCATCACTTGGAAGAATTCTATACAAAGTCAACATTGATCTTAGTCAAGAGGAAATAGTGCAACTTGAGTTGTTAGACTTTGAGTTGCTCTGATACCATGAAGGAAGTTAACATTCCGCCCGAAAACCAATTGGCAATGAGGGGCTTATAAGCCCTTGCTAGTTTCTCAACTTTCCAATGTGGCATATTTCTTCATATTCTCACAAGAACATGAACTTATCTTCCACTTATTGAATGTCTCCATGAATCCAACGTCGGTTTTGGATATTTGTGTCTGTTACTATAGTTCCCAATGTACGTGAATTATTTTATGTTTTTCACCATCTCATACAACCTCCTTCCTGGTTTTATCCTTATATCCTCATAGCTTCTTTCGCTACTCATATTGTATCATTCTAGTATGTTTCAGTCTCCGAGAAAACAATCACAAAACCTTTTTCCTCGTGCCTTCAAATAATGCTAGTACTATCATATAACTATTCATTTCAGATTAATCATTTAGATTTCGTTCTTAGGATTGGATTGTATTGGATATAGCCCACAAGATTCAACGTATGTTGAAGTAAGAAATGAAGGTACGTAGAGTTAGAATGATTTTTTCTTTTGTGGGAATTAGAATGGATAAGTTATAAGGTGTTGATATATATCCATCGGAAGGGATAAGTAATTTCCTTTAAAACTAATCCATATTCTACAACTTGGACAAAATTTGGAATTTTTGCCTCCATTTGTTCGTTCAACAAACATTCAATCTTGAGCTATCCAATCTTAGGCTCCAAATGTGGCATTGCTGTATTTTGTCACTACTACAATTTTAGCTCCCATTACTGGCTAAGTAATGTAATTTGTCACTACTAAATGATACTGACAAAGTCCTTCGTCAATACTAATATTACTAGCAAGCCACTGCGCCAGCCCCTTGAAGAGCGGGAAGCAAAATATTAAGCGCCTAAATTTGTAGACATTGGGAACCCAAACTGACGAAATTGTTTGCCAGTACTAGACTTAAATATAATTTTTTTACTTCAACTCTCTCCACTTCCTCCAAACCGACCATCTATTCTCATTGACCAAAAAATACCATCTATTCTCTCAGTTTTTTTTCCTTTGGTTTTTGGGTTTTACTCTCTCAGTCCTTCACTCTCCCCTCATCCCTTCTCTCTTTTTTCATTAAAGAAGAAATTGTTTTCTTCCTTAGAGCCATTGGAGCTGGAGGAATCGTGTGGTATTGATTTTTGTTTCAGCTGGTTCAGATTGACAGGGAGATTAAATTTGGGGGTTTTCTTTGCTCTTTTTCAGTTGGGGCTGATTTGGTTCTTCTTCTTTAAAGAGGGCCCCTGTTCTAGTTAGATTTGTGTTCCTATTTTGTTTTGTAATTTATTAATTTTTTAAAGTATTTGAGTATAGGTCACCCATGAATCCTTCTAATTAGTTATAAAATTTAGAATACTAATTTTATTCCAAGATATGAACGATGTACTAGTTGTATAGTTGAAGCCTGATTATATAATTTGGGTTTTTAAAGCTCTTATTTAAATCTTTTATTATTTGTTAGTGAAGTTTGATCTGTGGGTATGCATGTATTTATCTATTGCACGATTGTTGAATTTTTTTTTTTTTTGGAAACTTAGAATCCAGGTGTGTTTCCCTTTAGCTTTTTCTATTATATTGTTGTTGTTGTTTTTTAATTATTATTATTGTTGAATAAGTTTGTATATATTGAGATTTTTGGGCTTTTATATATGTGTAAGTATATTTAGGTTAGTATGTATACTTTATTTGTTTGTAAATAATGTGAGTTTCTTTAGCTATTAAGTTATTTTTGTCGAATCTTTAGCTATTAAGTTGGTCTAGTTGTTTGGTGTTATATTTCTACTTTTCTTCAGTCCAATGAATGTGCAATTTCGTGGTTAATATATTCTTTATTCTCAGTTTTTTGTTATTTTTTGGGTTTGCTTGTAAATTGAAGTAGATGATGATGAGTGATGAAGGTCACCCAATGGATAATAAATTGAAGTAGATGGTGATGAGGGTCATCCAATTGAGAGACAGTAGGAGTGAGGGATGATCTATGCTGAATAATTGTTTGTATTTATGCATTAATTTTAATTACAATATTATTGTACGAGAATTTCTTTAGTAGACTGTTTTGTATTGAAATGTTAAAGTAATAACCAAGGTGGTTGGTGTGAGTGGTTCGGCACTCTCATTCCTTAAGAGAGGTCAAGGGTTCGATCCCTGCTCTTGTACGGAGTCACCACTTTGGCCAGCACTTTACCCCTTACGGGCCGACTCGGTGTGAGCGGGGATTAGTTTGGGTTGTGGTTAAGGCTTAAAGGTGCCACCCATAGTTGGGGCCCATCCAGGACCACCTCGTGGTTCAGACCAAAAAAAAAAATGTTAAAGTAATAGTTTTTGGCTAATGATGTCTGATTAATTTGTTACTCCTTTAATGTTATGTATATCAAATTTTTTAGATGAGTAGTTCTGGAGATAGCTCACAAGAAGGGCCCAACGTTGACTTGGGGGATGATATAGAGGGAGATGGTTCTACAGGTGGTACTGGTATGTTGGGTTTTTACTTTTTCTTTTGATAAATTGGTATATATGTTTGAATCATCATATAAATATATTGTATAGGGGATGAGATGTATGAGAAACTTATTGTGGATGCAGGGCACCGTTAAATTTCTTCCTCAACAACAATATTAATACATTTGATTCATGTATTCAAGGATGTAACAATGAAGAATATTGAAAAGTTGTGGAGAAGTTTCAAGAGTAATGTGAAGAAAGCTTATTATAAACCTTTCACAGGAAATAAAAGACAGTGGCAATGTGGGGATTATCTGTTTTTAGGGGGGATGCAGACCCTATTGAGACTGACTTTTTAGAATCAGATCAAGGTACTCATGGACTTGAATAGATGCAGTTAGTGTTGTGCATTTTTGATATAGTGGCTGACTGTATTTTGGATGTATGCATACTTTTGTAGTGTACTTATTGAATATTTGGCATTGCATAGTTTTGTATAATAAGGCCAACTAAAGTTATTGAACTCTATTGATGTAACTAGGAAGATCTTTGTAATAATTTGGCTATTGTAATCGACATTGCCACATTGGTACTTTATATTTTATAAGGATGGTGATTGTATGGTTCAATCTTTGACTATTTATATAATATCATATTTATACATGTTACATTTTCAGTATCAATGAAATTTTTTAAGAAAAGAAAAAATGTCCAGATTATATTACAAACATTTGAAAGAAGTATATTTTAATAGGCATGAGCTCACAAATTGACAAAATATCCTGGCAAATCTTTTTTTTTTTTGGGGTAAAAACAATCCTGACAAATCTTTGGCCACTAATACCCAATCCTAAAATAACAATCCTGATGAAAGCTTACTTAATACTAGCTATTTGTTTTGCTAGTAATAATCTAGAGTCACTTAATGACTTGTGTCAGAGACAAACTTTTAGTGACGAAAGAGTTGCAAAAGTTGGTCAGTAATAGTAGTACTGACAACCCTTATTTTCACCACTGCACTCGCCAGGATGCCATTAGTGACGAATTTTGGTCAGTAATGGGGTTTTTACTGACCACAAAGGGTTGTCAGGACAAGGGAAAATTGTAGTAGTGTGTTGTCCTCAACCTTCAACTGCATAAAGAAATAACTGGTCTAATCGCAAGCCATATGGCTGCCAAAATTTTTGCCTGAAGAAGTTAAAGGACATCACATCACTTTAACTATTTGGTATTATCACGAGTCCATTTTGTCCTTTTTGTTCCAAGTGAACTTATTACAACATCTTATATTTCCTCGTCATTTTTCATTTCGGATCCTAAAAAACGTAAATTGCTTTGACAGTTCCATCTAAACTAAGTCATCAAAGCGTCTGAGCATATGTTCTTACTCTTTTTAAGGCCAACTTATATATAAACATAAATATTTTATCTCAAGATATTAGAGTATCCTACTGTTTCAATGAATCAGAACCCTTTCACCCCTCAATATCGTCCGGTTTATTTAGTGCCAGTTTCTTGTGGCAAGAATGGAGAACTAACTAGTATGACTACTTATGCTTCCTATGCGATTCTTTCATATGCATGTTTCCATATCAACACATAAATTATGTCAAAAATTTTAAAGTTATCTACACATGCATGAAAGTCAGTGAAAATGTGATTTTTATGTACTTGTTCAAGTTGGCAATGAATTCCTAAGTTTAAAATTTCCCATAAAACCTGCTTCAGACACTAACAACTCAAAATTCAAATTTACAAGTTTACACTGAAATACAAAACTACTTCAGTATCATCAATGACCAAAACTTATCATGATATATAATCATCATTAAAGATACATAAGGATAATCAAAACCTTGCATGCATTTAAAGGAAACGAAATTTTTCAGAGCGTTAGGGAAAAAACCTGATGAGGAAAACGCAAAACAGGTAAGATTGTTGAGGTGGGAGGAAGACATGGTTGTATGATCAGAAGAATGCACAATGTAGTTGACAGCTTTGCAACTCCAGAAAGGCGAGAGAGAGAGAGAGAGAGAGAGAGAGAGAGAGAGAGAGAGAGAGAGAGAGAGAGAGAGAGAGAGAGAGAGAGAGAGAGAGAGAGAGAGAGAGAGAGAGAGAGAGAGAGAGAGAGAGAGAGAGAGAGAGAGAGAGAGAGAGAATGGGATAAATTAATCAACACATGTACAACTGGCGAATTGGAGCCATTGGGGATAAATTAAGCAGACCATACGGATAGGGCCAAAAGAGGAAGCATCAACGACTACAGAAAAGATGCTAATAATATGAGCGGGCTCTATTCAAACCATAGAGAGAGAATGGGATAAATTAATCAATACATGTACAACTCGCGAATTGGAGCCATGGGGATAAATTAAGCAGACCATACGGGTAGGGCCAAAAGAGGAAGCATCAACGACTACAGAAAAGATGCTAATAATATGAGCGGGCTCTATTCAAACCATTATTTAATAAGAGTTTATACATTTGATGAATTATAATGTTTAAAATGTTTAATTACATATAAGTATCTGGATCGTCTGCTTGGATATTATCTAAAGTAAGTTGAGGTTCCACCCCAAAACAAATTGGCAATGAGGGGAGTAGCTCAACACCTTATAACTTGCAAGGTTTTCTAACTTTCCAATGTGGAATATTTTTCGGAAATGGGTCACTGTCTCGCTCAGTCGTCATCGCCCTCTCTCTCCCGACCAATTGCGCTCAGTCATCTTCTCGTTCGAGGTCTAGTTCAATCGCTTTCGGATTTTCCTCCCTTGCTATTTGGTGGTTTGTCTCCTTGTGTTTGGGCCTTGTCTCCTCTGCTCCCTACCATGTGTGAGCCTGTTTCTGATGATGATACCTTGGTTTATAGGGTAGACTTCATGGTCCCTAAGCGCATGTGCACATATGCCTATTCTGCCAAGCTTATGATACCATTCTCACACTCTCACACGCTCCCGCACATGTGGCGAATTCGTGTGCAACACGCTTTGATACCATGAAGAAAGTTGAGGTTCCACCCCAAAACCGATTGGCAATGGGGGGAGTAGCCCAACATCTTATAAGCCCTTGCAAGTTTTTATAACTTCCAATGTGGGATATTTTTCACTTCACATTCTCACAATTATCTGCTAGGATCTGCTTGGATATTTCGAAGGTTAAAAGTAAGTCATTAAATCCACCATATTAATAGGGAAAAATAAAAGAAAAACTTGTTGCCATAGACCAGAAGAAAGAAAAACGTCTAACTCCTTCATCAATCAAAACCCACCAAACCATGCCCATTATTTTTTATTTGATAGTTTTTTTTTTTTTTTTTTTTTTTTTTTTTGGATGAGATCCAAGGGTGCCCACCGCCGAAAGCAGTGACTAATCCCTTTCGCCGCGGGAGCTCTCCCAAAGGAGGTAAACGGCTGGCCACGAAATGCGCTCCATTCCCATGGGTGGGGATAGTTTTTATTTCTCTCCTCTCACACAAGCTTTTTTTTTCTTTCCAGATTGATTAATTGGTTAGTATTATTATTATTATTGTTGTTGTTGTTGTTGTTGAAAGGTTTTGAATATTCTCGATGCTTTTCATTGAACAATCGTATGATAATTATATACAGAGCTTTGCTTGGTATCTACACAAAGGATTTCTAATTCTAGTTAAGAATTAAGTCCTTGAGAGACAAGGAATATATACAGCAAATCTAGGAAATAAATATAAATAAACAAGAAACTAAATCCTTCAGGGATTATGTCTCATTACACCCCAGCAGGCTAACCAGGCGGGGGAGCACAGGCAGCTTGGAATGAAGTAAAGAAAACCGAGCAGGAGATAGACCCTTAGTGAAGATATCAGCAATCTGATCAGCGATAGAACAATAAACAACGAGCAACTCATTGTGCACCACCTTTTCACGAACAAAATGATAATCAACCTCGACATGGCGAGTGAGAGTATGAAACACCGAATTAGAGGCAAGAGAGAGAGAGAGAGCACTAATATTATCACACCAAAGGCCCTTCACAAGCCACGCCACCAGCATATGTCTTCCAAACTTGTTCATCCTGTGACGCCCAGTTTGAGCCCACGGTGGTGTTAACATAGCTTTCCTAGCACACACGGAAGTCAAGCTCACAATCTCCTCCTAACAATTAGCTTTCGTGCTGTAAATCGGATTGTATTTATGTCTATATTATTAAATTCCCGGCCCAGTGCGACACCTTATTAAGAAAAGACCCGGTTCGGAGCACGCGAAATTAGCCATGCACGCTTGCACGAGCCACGACCACGTGCCATGCCAAATAAGTATGCAATTCGCCATGCTATAGCCTATAAAATGCACTGGCTCTACGAGCCCATGCTAATTATCCCATCGAGCATCATATCCCTTTTCAAAGGCAATAAAATTCGAGCACGCCAATCGACATGCCATGCCAAGCGAAAAATCATTATTTTACACCTAGCCACGCTACAAGCTTAAGTGGGCCAAAGCCACGCAAATGCCTGGGGCTTGCTGAGTGGGTTGTGGTATGGATGGTAACGAGCTTTCATGAGGCCCATTGATGAGCCAAGAAATGGAAGTTTTGGGCCGCTTGGGAGCCCCAAAACTCAAGCCCATTTCTTGAGCCCAAATATGTGAGCAAGCATAAAAGAGAGAAAGAAGGGAGTCAAATACCCTAGGAAATAAGCCCATCACCATAATAAGATAGCCCATCATTTAAGGAAATTAGCCCATTCTCTTAATGGGCTAACCTATCACATTAGCAAAAACCCAAGCAGCCAAGAAAATATCTATAGTCTACAGCACTTAGCTTGAAACGTGAACCACGATGAAAGCCAAAGTGTATGTCGGTGAGCTGCTGAGAGGCTCCAGCACATGGGCATAGCAAACTTCAAAGAAGAACATGCAAAGATCCAGAGGATAATGGCGCGCACAGGTTGCTAGAAGGAGGGGCACTCTTCAAACCAACGCCCTTACCAATTTCTTTCTCCTACCCATTGAAGAGGGAAGGAAAGAAAGTGTGGAGGTGTTCAAAAATAAGAGTTCAACGCTGGAGGCGCTGCAGAAAGCCCTTAGAGCTCCCAAAAACCTTGTCTTGGTGTGTTTGGACTGAGGAAAATTGCAAAAAAGATGATGAATTGAAAGGAGAGAAGAAAAAGGGAAGGGGAGACTTGGCAAAATTGGAGAAAAGCCATTAGGTTTTCTTGGGAAGGAGGAGCTCCCAGCGGCTATAAAAGGGAGTGTCTCCTACCCATTGAAAAACAACTCAATTGAAGGCAAGCAAACCAGACCCAGAGAGCAAGCATCATCTCTCACCTCTGGAACCCTTCAATTTCGAGCCACACCTCTCCATCTCCTCCAATTTTCTTTTCTGGCAAGCCATTCCAGATCTTGACAGACTTTTCGTCAAGCTGCTGGAAATTACTCAAATAACCCATCATTCCTCCTTATCTCTCTCCCCCCTTAGCCAACCTTCTTAGAATCACTTTCCTTTCCTTAGAACCCCTGTTTCTCATAGGAATTCACAGTCCTCTCTCTCTTTAATGCTAAACTCATGATTGCTTTGCTCCCATGCCACAAGCTTCTCATGCCAAGCTAAAAATCTACCTGTAAGCAGATGTTGTTTTTGTTGGTGAAGGTAACCGGGGTGTTTCCTAAGGCTTCACCGTCCTTTCGAAGTATTCTCGGGGCTTGATTTTTGAACTCAGACACTGGGGGTAATTTCACCCATTTTCGCTCCTTACGGCAGCCCAACCCATTCGTCAGGCTGCTGGAACAAAAAGACCCCTACAAAAGATAACATCATGAGTTTTCATCATCTCTTTGTCATACTCAGCTGATGAAATAACTATGGTTGAAACTTCTCCAAGCCTCAGGTGCATAAGGGGTCCATATGTCTTGGTCAAGTCTCTAGTTTATGATGGGGTAGAGAGCAAATGAGCTAATGTATGCTTCCTATAAAGGGTAGCTTCCATGGCCCTTGTGGTAGATTTGAAACGGAGTCTTTGGTTTTGCCTCTGTTCCCACTACTACAAAAAGGGCAAAAGACGACCAGAAAAAGACGACGGTAGAACAAAAAACCGTCGTTGTTTTTAAAAAGACGACGGTAACAAAAAACCGTCGTGGATAAGTGACTTAATCAACTAAAAAATGGAGATACTGTTGAGAATTTTTTTATAACAACGCACACAAATAAAAAAGCGTCGTCTTATTAAAAAGCTTTTCTTCAGAGTTAAAATCTGACCAAAAAACAACGACAGTAGGTATGACAAGCGTCGTCTTTTAAAAATTAAGTGTCCTTTTTTTGGTAAAGACATGGTTGTTTTGAAAGAACTGTCGTCTATTATATGTAAAGATGACGGTTTTTTTTTTATAAAAAGGGTCGTCTATTATTAAGTAAAGACGACCCTT